GGGGGGGGGCGTATCTCTTATCCCTAGCCCTAACCCCCAACTCCGCCCCACCCCCTACTAAAACCAAGATTGACATATTCGCGAAGGCTACCGGAACAAGGAGGAAAACTCTAAGCTTGGGCCCGCTGCTGCCCGGCCGCTGCTGCACGCCCCAAAGGAGCAAACGCGCCGCTGTGCTGCGCGACGTAGTTGTACGCGATTCGGCACGTTGCCCCCATTCGGTCGCGGGCCAGCTGCACACTGGGCGAACAAGAACACTTGACGTCCTCGCCTGCTTTCTAACTCGAGGTAAAAGGCACGTACCTAGTGCTCCTATTGTTTTAAGCCCGCCAGCTCAATGAAAAAGGCAGTCATCGAGGGAAAAATCTAGCTGTAGATAGTAGAAATCCGCCGGGGGGGGGGGTGAAACTGGGCGTCACACACACACACAGCTAGCTGGTGCTCCTTCGTGCAGCACGCAGTCATACGGGAAAAATTGAGCTATAGGCGGTACCATTGCCGCACGGGGGGCTCGCCGGGGGGGTCATACTCAGCGTCACACGCACGGCATACCTGGTGCTCCTTGCTTCCCTCGCGGAACCCCTGCCTTCGGACGATAGAGTAGCGAGTTGCGATGGTCGCTGCCTTGGCGAGGCTCCTGCCCGCGTCCTTGGCGATCACCACCCTTACCTGATTTATTCATCCCGGCATATCATCATGTCATGTCATGTCATGTCATGATACATAAATGCCGAGGTGGCGGTTGTTGCTAGTGGTGGTGGGTGTTGTTGTTGCTGGTGTGTTCGTTGTTATTGATGTTGTTGTTGGTATTTGCTGGTGTTGTTAAATGTTAAGTGTTATGGCTGTTGTGTATGTGGTGGTTGGCGGTGATGGTGGTGGTGGTTGGTGTTTGCTATCGACGTTGCAGTTATTGTCGTCGATATGGCTCGTGGAGGTAGGTGGTGGTGCTACAACGTCGATGTTCTTGTTGTTCCTGGTGCTGTTGCTACGGTTCGTTGTCATGGTGGTGGTCTTGTTTTCACGTCAGAAACCGTACTAGCATCGGCCGACCATCTCCTCTTTCGTACCTGCATACCGTTCAAGGCCAAGACTTGACTTTCCTTGGGCATCCGCGCCATCGAAAAAAGGGGGCAATAGGCGCAACCATCGAGAGGCTAGGCTCAGGCAGCAACGACGGAGCCTAGCAACATTGCCGAGAGCTGAACACAGGTTGACCCGCACGTGGTAGCTCACTGTGGGGGGGTAGGCTCCGTGTAGCAACCCTAGGTTTCTGACCACAACGCACGCAAGCATTCTACGAAAACCCTTGCTGCCTCTCCTCCTACACTACAAGGAGACGTTCATTCCTTTCAGCTCCGTGAACACACAGGCGAACTCGCTCGCCTGCATCATGGAGATGTAGGCGATCTTGCCGCTCTCCTTCGAGCCAAAGGAAGCGTACACGCCGTCCCTGTCCACCCGCTGATGCCTCATGGCCATGTTGCCGCGGGGGATCCTCACCCGGTCGAAGGAGCAGAAGCCGTTGTCCATGGTGTTAAAACCAATCTTCGGGCCGATGTCTCCAACTCTGGAGTTGAACGGGGGGGGGGGGCGTACTCCTTGATGTTTTGCATGCCTTAGCGGCGGGACCATTGACCACGCGTCCTCAAGAGGACGGAGCATTGTTCCACAGGACCGATAGCCAATCGGTCGGAGGGTGGCAGGCCACAGGAAAGCATCGATCAACACAAGCGGGCTGATATCAAGCGGTACGGTAGGAGCCTCACGGTACGGTAATTCCGTCCCCGACAGGTGGTACATCGGCTGTACCAGTGAACTCTTTGCGGGGCGGTAGTTCTGTCTCTTGCGGCTGCTATGCGGATGCAATTCGTGGCGTTTTAGGATCCGTAGAGGGCTGCTGTGGAGACCTTGGGCCTCTCTCTGCAGCAGGAGCAAGTAACCTCCGAGAACACCCAACACAACATCTCGGTGGTGTCTTGCTGACGAAATGATAGCGCCATTGTCATGATTGAGACGTGATCTTATAGCAATGAGAACCACGTAACATGAGGGTGACCTGCTGACGGAATCACTAGGATGTCATATTGAGGAGCGTCACAAGATGCCCATGCTCATTAAATCACGGGTATGCCTTGCGAGGATGTCCCACCTACGTAGGAATGAATCATGATGCCATCTCGATGGGCGGCACAAGATGGCATGCTGACGGAATCCCGACGTCATCCATGTATGGGTGTGCCATACATTGATGGCGTCACGATACCGTCAGCGATGGAAAATCTATAGCGCTGCAGTCCCCACCTTGGCATTCTTAGCGCGACAGCAACGATCATCACGACAGCGTTTTCGCGCATGCTTTTTCCTCGTGGGTGTCAGCACGGGCACCCAGTAGTACCGGAAGGTGCCCGGCGAATCGACCGGCGCTCTTCAATCTGCTCCCACCGACAACACCGGCACTACAACAGTGGTGGTGGGCCGGGTATATTGTGGTGGGCCGGGTTTAGCGACCCCCTCTTTAGCGACATGCCCTGTTTAGCGACCACAAAATCGCGTGGCTGGCACCACTGCACCCCGGCTGATGGCCGCTAAAGCGACCTGCCCTTAATGGCGACCATGTTCCCTCCTGACACCATAATATAATAGGTGTCGCTAAACGGGGCCCACCGCTACGTCGGCACTGTTCTACACTGCTCCCCCCCACTGATGACGATTCTGTATTCTCGGATTATGACACGAATCCAGATTTCGGAACGAAATTGCCAAGAGTCGAACGTTCAATGAAGCAGGTTTGACCACAAACGACTCTACCCTTTCTTTCTCCCGAAAAAACAACGGCAGTGTCCCTTGCCAAGGGCGGCCCCGCGTCGTCAGCCAGGTCGGACGGACGGACACCTTCTAACCTGACACCAGGCAGCGGGAGGTGGTCGTCGCCCCGGATGGGCACGATGAAGTTGTGGATGCCGTACTGCTTGCCGTCGATCACCAGCTGTGCGATCACCTACGGTAGGGTAAACGATGGCCCGTCGTCGACGGACGCGCTACACCGGTTGAGAGAGAGGAGACGCAGCTACGGGTGCATGACTGCGCCTGCGGCGTGTGGGCTACCACACGTCCAAAAGACGCAAAAAGACGGGTACATGACTGCGACTGCGGGGTACGGTAGTCTACCTCAGGACCTGGGAGGGACTTAAGAAAATGAGGCTCAAAAAGAGATTGCTTTCAGAACTTGCCATACTGCTGTAGAATCACGTGCTCCGTCAGGAATCCTATGCATACACTAAAACATATACTTTACCTCTAGCTCTGCTGTGATAACCAAAGCCGGTAACACGCTGACGCCAATTGCTTCCCTACGGCTAAAAATTTAAAACCACAACGAGACTAAACAAACCACCCACTATTTTTCTTTATTTTTCTAGCAAACTCACTTCATGATGGGTGTAACTTATTCCAACACTTGTCTGTCCCGGTAGCCAAGCACGACATAAACACTGCATCGATCTCACGCTACTCCCGCGTGCTACTTACTACTCTCACCATGGCATGGTTCGCCGTGCGACCCATGGTCCCAGGCCACCTGTGGCGTTGGATTCCATGGAAAAAAAACAAAAAAACAGGGTGGCCGGTTCCGGTTCGGGATATGGTCAGCAACGAGCAAACTTCGAAAGACATAACCACGGTCCAAGGGGATGGGTTAACCAGATGTTTCGAAGTCTTTACAGTGAGTGGAGGGAAACCGGCTGGATACTGGGCATATTTTGAGTCTATGTAGGCCTATACGCCGAATTCGTCAAGTAAAAAACGGAAAAGTACCGAGGAAATATGTCTGCATTTCAGCAATCCGAGCCAGCGCTACTCCGACGGTAAGCCATGCGGTCACAAGAGGTGTGGGGACACGAAGCCTACACCCGAGGCCCAGAATGAAGCCAAATGACGCCCCAAATATGAAGGAAACGTGGGGAACGTCCGATGCGAAGGGATTCGAGAATGTATCAACCCAGCGACATATATTACCCCTTGAGAGTCCTTTGTACAATTGTCCCTGCTTTAAGGACACTCATAGTTATTCTTAAAAAAATGTGTCGTTGAAATCACACCTTCGCCCCCTCTGTATTCACCATCCGGGGGGCACCACGTTCTTGAAAAACATGGCGTCATTAAAGCGGTGCCGTAACGTGCACTACGAATTGACTATTTTTTTTCCGAGTGTTGGGTGGAAACGGATCCCATTACTGACTGACGCTGAGAGATTATTCTAATTACCCCCCAAGTACCCATTAGCAAGGGAGAACACAGTGCCCAGTGTCCCTCGAAAAAATCATTGTTGAAACAAAGTTCTTCTAATCTTTGAAATATTTGTACACCTTAGGCTACAACGCCCAGCTGTAGTGTTACGGTATTCGGAGATAGCCATGTGATGGTGCCTTACCACGGTTTCTTGGCGTTATCAGATATTGTGCTATGACGCCATGCAAAAATGCGGCTTAATGCCGAGAGCGAGGCTACGATCGTGGCGAATCAGTTCAACACAACAGGGGTATGTTAAACCGCATCGAAGAAGCCTCAGATCGATGTCCTACGCAAATTAGCGGTACACTACTTTTTTCCCCCCAGTAACCAAAGCTGTTGTTGTTGTCTTTACGTTGAAAACCACTCCGGTCTCTACTGAGTACCTCCTAATACCCGTAAAATGGCCCCAACTGACGCGAACGCCTTCCGTGGTCACATGAAAACTACCCAACATACGGTACACAAACAACCCATGAGATAAAAACGACCCAGCTTAATCAATACTATCTCTGTAACCCTGCATTTTGTAGACCAGAAGTTATTAATAGGGGAAAAAGAGAAAAAGAGGTATCGTTCTCACCACTTGAGGTATCATTCTCACCACTTGGTAGCGGTGATGGACGGGGAATGTATCTCAAACTCGTCCGTCTCCCGCACGAAAGTGGCCGTCGTCTCCAGAGCACGGATGTTTGACCCGTGTCCCAGCTCTGTCTGAGCGTAGCACCCGATCACCTGTTGATTGTCGTTGTTGTTGTTGTTGTTGTTGTCGTTGTTGTTGTTGTGTTGTTGCTGGTGGTGTGTTATCGTCTCCACAACTCAACCTATTGCTGAATTATAGTTGTTGCGCTGGTGGTGTGTTATCGTCTTCACAACTCAAAATATTGCTGTATTGTAGTTGTTGTGCTGGTGGTGCGTGTTTTTGTCTCCACAACTCAACCTATTGCTGTAGTTGTTGTGCTTGTGATATATCCCACACACCTAGACCGACTTCCACAGGTCGATTGCTCTACAGCCCAAGAGGTTGCCATCGAAAACTCATCAACCGATAGATAGATCCAAGGAAAGCTAGCTCTGTACGACATCTTTCCCCAAGTCGCCCTTTGTCGTCAGTGGGATACTCCCGGTTGTGGATTAATCGAGCGATGAAAGCCTGTCTACCGGGGGGGGGGGGGGGGGGGGGGGGGGAATTTGGGGGAAAAAAAAAAAAAAAAAAATTTGGGGGTTTTTTGAAGGGCCCAAAAAATTTGGGGGGACAAAAGGT